TATACGGGCTTTTGGATACCCCATAAGGGAAAAGGAGCAGTTTTTTCTTATAACATTACTTTATTTCATTGCTGAGCCATGGATCAATCTGAGTCCTCAGAAATACCTTTTGTTGCATTTTGGGCGGCAATTGCCCTCTTCAAAATTCTCTCCCGTTTGCCAGTTGTGTATATAAAGCCTGTTTGCCTGGTCTCTCTTCATTTCTAACTTGTGGTGCACTCCAATCTTCTCTAGAGGGTGTGTCTTCACCAGAAGGACCAATGTGACTAATGATAACAGATGTAGGGAAAACATGTCTTTGAGGACCAATAATTATATTGCTTCACCCATCCCCAGGGTTCCCGTCACCAATGGCCCTGATGCTGCCAGTGACACCAGAAGCAGATGTCTCCCTCATTTCATGGCGGCAGCTGGACATTTCAATGCCTTCCCCCCCACTTCCACACCACACAATGCCATTTTCACAGCTGACAAGAATCCTGTATAAGTTGTAACATTGCTGCCACTGCCATCAAAGGACACAGCTAAGGCATGAGGGTTGGGAGGAGGCCTGATGTCACAGGTATTCAATGGCAGCACTTCTCCAATATGCAGCAATACTTGCTGTCTGCTTCAACGGGAATCCTGTTGCTGTACCACGCAGATAGATAGACATAAAAATTGCAAAAAGTGATTACTGTACAGTATAGAAAAGCCAATGGTCAGTGACGATGGGAATTGTAGTCCACCAATATCTGGGGGATACCCCGTTAGCTACCACTGCTTAGTTTATTTTGAACTATGGTTTAATGCAACATTTTTAACAGGGCCAGTGAATACCAGATAATGTTTTGACTACATGGAAACAGTTTTTGACTTGCATAGTGGTACTTTGTCAATGCACTGCCCTCTGGCTTGGTATGAGATTATTCTACACTAGCCATCAGTTCCTGCATACCAATTTATTTCATACCCATTGGGACTTCACAACTCAGTTATTCTTGCCTTAGAAAGAGCCAGGTTGTAATGCTGACTCCCTGAATTGCCTCTACAATTTCATGGACATTGCTTCTGACAACAACAATCATAAACCTTTTACAGTATGCTCCCAAATCCACTTATGGAGGTGTAATTGCATTTAGGATTGATTTCCACCATTGTGATAACTACATTTTAAATGGCGCCACTTCCTTACAATCTACCTAGCTCCTACACTTCCAGCACTCCCCCACCTGCTTTGAGTTCCTAAACAAAGCACTTGGCCTTCTTCTAGCAACAGGTTAGCTCCATCCTGAGTTAACTGGATCTGCAGCATAGCCTACGTGAATTACTTCCAAATAATGCACTTTAGACAGAGATGCCAGATTCCAATATTGAAATAAACTAATCTTCACAGCCTCTTTCAATCACATCATTCACTTGAAAATCAGTACTTGCAATCTTATCCTCAATCTTACTCAGAAGTAAAACTAATTAAGTACAAAGGGTTTTTTTTGTTGTTTAGTCGTTTAGTCGTGTCCGACTCTTCGTGACCCCATGGACCAGAGCACGCCAGGCACCTCTGTTCTCCACTACCTCCCGCAGTTTGGTCAAACTCATGCTGGTAACCTCGAAAACACTATCCAACCATCTCGTCCTCTGTCGCCCCCTTCTCCTTGTGCCCTCCATCTTTCCCAGCATCAGTGTCTTCTCCAGTGAGTCTTCTCTTCTCATGAGGTGGCCAAAGTACTGGAGCCTCAGCTTCACGATCTGTCCTTCCAGTGAGCACTCAGGGCTGATTTCCTTAAGAATGGATGCGTTTGATCTTCTTGCAGTCCATGGGACTCTCAAGAGTCTTCTCCAGCACCATAATTCAAAAGCATCAATTCTTCGGCGATCAGCCTTCTTTATGGTCCAGCTCTCACTTCCATACATCACTACTGGGAAAACCATGGCTTTAACTATACGGACCTATATGGCTTTAACTATACAAAGGGGTTTACTCCCATGTAAATGGATACAGGATTGCAGTCTAAAGCATTGGAAACCAAATGGGATTACGTGGGTGGCGCTGTGGGTTAAACCAAAGAGCCTAGGGCTTGCTGATCAGAAGGTTGGCAGTTTGAATCCCCGTGACGGGGTGAGCTCCCATTGCTCGGTCCCTGCTCCTGCCAACCTAGCAGTTCGAAAGCACCTCAAAGTGCAAGGAAGGTCATTTCTGTGTGCTGCTCTGGTTCGCCAGAAGCGAACATGACCCGGAAGCTGTATGCCGGTTCCCTCGGCCAATAAAGTGAGATGAGTGCCGCAACCCCAGAGTCAGTCACGACTGGACCTAATGGTCAGGGGTCCCTTTACCTTTACTTTACACATGCAAAGGATTGCATTGCACTATACATAAGTTAATTTTTAATTAAATACTGGGACTTTAGAAACACAAAAAGTACTGGATCAAAATAATCAGGACAGATAAAATGCCATATCCAGTCTTCTTCTCTCCCCCACTCCAATGTAAGATGATTTGTAGCTACAGGACAAACTAGAAAAAGATAATAGCCAGTCAAATGGGATTTTTTATTTTAAAAAGCACTGGGCAACATCTGACACTTTGGAATTAATCTGGACCAAAATCAGATGCTATCACTTCTTCAGTGAGGAAGCAATAATTTATGAGGTGGCAACTATGTAAAAGAACCTACATAACCAGAAAATTAAATTAGTATGATTATGGTGTTGTTGCTTTTTGGAATCAACAAGGTCAATTATGTTTTGACTTATTATTCTCAGTAAAAAACCAATACAGTAATCCAATCTGAAACCTTACCAAATGAATCATACTATATATTGATGAATAAAGAATTACATCATGCCGCAAATAGAAAAAAGTTTCACTTAAGTGAAAAAGGTGAATAACTACAATAACACATTAAAGCTGCAATTCTATTGCACAAGCCCATTGCACCAGAAGCAGCTTAGTCATGCTGGCCACATGACCCGGAAAAACTGTCTGCGGACAAATGCCGGCTCCCTCGGCCTGTAAAGCGCGATGAGCACAGCAACTCCAGAGTCGTCTGCGGCTGGACTTAACAGTCAGGGGTCCTTTACCTTTAACCATGTATACTAAGAAACCAGTAGGAGAACACTTCAATCTCCCAGGACATTCTATACAAGATCTCAAAGTAGCTGTTTTACTACAAAGGAATTTCAGAAATAGACTGGAAAGAGAAGCTGCTGAATTGCAACTCATTCCCAAACTTAAAACCATGGAGAGACCTGGTCTGAACAAAGACATTGGATTCTTATCTCATTATACATGACAAAGCCATTTTTCACCTTCTCACCCCTTGCTTTTTCCTGTAAGACCTATTGCAGTCGTTAAGAGTCGTCAACAGGCTCATCACAGCTATCTGCCAATCACCCATTCCCACCACCCTTTGAGTAATACCCCTCCCCACCTTCTCACTATATAGAAGGATCTGGCAACTTCTGTTTCAGTGTATCTGAAGAAGTATGCATGCACACGAAAGCTCATACCAAGAACTAACTTAGTTGGTCTTTAAGGTGCTACTGGAAGGAATTTTTTTTGTTTTGACTATGGCAGACCAACACGGCTACCTATCTGTAACATGTATACTAAGAAGTAAGTGCTATTTAATTCCATCAGCATTACTTCCAGATAAGTGGAGCTGGGATTGTAGCCTTCATCTACTCTCAAATGTGCATAGGTTTGCATCTTTAGGCTGTGATCCTGAAGGAGCCCATTTATATAAAGTCAAGGTTTTAAGGCTGCAATGCTTACCAGGATGTAAATCCTGCTGAACTGATTGACCATTTCTAAGTAAATGTGCTGATGACTGGAGTCCATTATCTACAACCATCTGTACTAATTATTTAGGAAAAACACAATCCACTGAACTCAGTGGACCTTATATTCAGAAAACATTTATAGGTCATGTGTAGATCTAGGTTCTTAAACCAAGAATGGAAGAGATTCCTTTCCCCCATAAAGAATACTGTAAAGTTATGGTGTCTGAAATCAGGAACAACTACTAACTAGACCCCTCATATGTTGGTTTCTGTAATAAGGAGCACCTATCCCATACTATTTACTCAGTTTTTTAAAACCTGTTTTCTCACTCTGAGCCTCTGACTTTTTAAATGAGTTTAGAATATGTTTAGGGTATGTTTGTTTTTAAACTAGCAGTAGTTTTTATTGCTCTATACTGTATTTTAATGTTGTGGTTTTGTATTTTGCTTTCAGAGTTGCGAGAACTATAGAAATGTAAAAAATCTTGTTGGACGAGTCTGTATTCAGACCAACCAAAAAGCCACAAAATTGTGGCAGGTGTTCCGAGTTATTCACAATACTTCATCAAGGTAAGATTTGTGACAGAGAGGTGAAAAATAAAAATACCAAAAAAAGTACAAATAGGAGGCTAAAATGTTGCAGCATACAGTTAGTTTAAGAACCAAGCTCAAGATGGGTTTATTTTTGTTTTACATTTTGGCTGGCTCCAATAAAGGCATTTCCTAAACCTTGGATTTTAAATAAACAAGGCTACCTTTGCACTTTTATATAAGGATGTACAGTAGTTGGTTAACAGTGCAACCCAAACCATTTCTACTTCGGAGAAAATTCAAAAGGGTAAGTAGAGCTGGGGCGGTAGCCTTAGCTAAGTAATAAACAACGCTATTGTGACAGCTAAGAAATAAAGGGAACAATGATTTCCCCAAAAAACCCACCGTCACTACACTCTCTGACAACTCAACGCCTCCTGCCCGCACCGAGGGACACGCACAGCAGCCGCTGCTCCGCCTTCGAAGGCTCCTGTAGGCGAAATCTGCAAAATATATCCGCGCAGCAACCCGTGCCCTGCTGGAGGACAGGAGAGCCAATCATCGTGCAGGGCGACACCCTCGCGCTCAGAGAGCGAGCGAGAGAGAAGCCTTCTCACCCCCTTCAGGCCGGCGCAGTGGTACATCCCTAAGGCGTTCTGGGTCCCCTCCCCAAGCAGGCGCAGTGGTACAACCGCGAAGGGCGGCTGGTTCCCTCCCCCACCGGCGGAGGGAGACGCCATTGCGGAGTTGTTTGTGAAGCAGCAGAGCGAGAGCAGGCGGCCGCCGGGGAGGGAGACGTCGGCGTTGCTAGCGGTGCTGAGGCCTTTTTTTTTGGAGGTTGGGAGGCCCGAGGATTCATTTGGCAGCCGAGGGGAGCGGGGAGCATCATGTCCACCCCAGCTAGGCGGAGGCTAATGAGAGATTTCAAGAGGTAAGCGCTCTTCCCCCTTCCTTCCTCCTCCCAAGAGCTCTGGCTGCTTCCCAGGGCCGGAATGCGCCCCCTCCCTCCCGCCTTCTCTGGAGGAGGAGGAGGAAGGGGCCCCCCCGCTCTTGGGGGACCCCCTTGTGGGAGCCTAACTGCTCACCTTTGCTTTTTGCCCTTCCAAAGGAGCTGGGGGGGCTTTCTGTGTTTAGGGCGGAGGGGAAGAAGAACTCTAGATTTTGCCTGCCCTTCTCTACCCAAAAAAAACAACAACCTGCTGGGAGGACAAAGAGTTCAAGAGTTTCCACTTCCTCCCCTCGAAAAGATCTGCCCTTGCCCCGCACCCCGGCTGCCCCCCACCCTCCCTCCTTCCCCTTCCTCCTCTGTTAAGAAGAAGAAAGTCAAGGTGCTTCTATAAGAACAAGGTTTGTGCTAGACAAAAGACTTAAGAAGCTTGCTGGGGTTTTTCCCTCTTCTCTCTTTAAACCAACCCCCCCCCCCCAAATAAGAGAGAGGCCAAACTGATTCGAGAGACCATTCCCCTTTTTTTTTTGGCTTTGACGCCCCTTTGTAGAATACTTGTCTTGTTGATATAAGGGAGTTGGATTGAAATAGACTGGATTGACCACGTCACAGGTACAGATGAAGCCCCCCCCCCAACTCAGGGGAATGACCTAGGGAGCCAGTTTGTTTATAGCATGGGACGTTATGCAAAATAGTGATTAGGTCACTGGTTTTAAGAAGTCGCCTCTTACCTTTCTTTTTTTTTTCTATGCTGCACCCACCCCCACCCCTCCAAGTACTCAGCATGCAAGCTGCCTTGAGGTTTGCCGAGTGTGAAAACGGGTTTGTTACATAAAAGCCACAGTAAATGGTATGCCCAAGAAATGATTTTCAACAGTTTTCTTTTCTTTTCTTTTTAAGGAAGGAAACTGGTAGGCCACAGAGCTGTATTAAATGCAAGCTTTGTTATTTCCGTTTAATAGAGTTTTTCTATGCTCTTCATCCACTGATCCCAAAGCATCTTGCCAATGTGATGCTTCAAAAATAAAAGAAGCCATTGTCACAGCCTCAGGTTACCCAGTGAGCCAACAGTGGAGCTGTAAATAAAACTCCTTCCAGTCCAGTGTCCCCCTCTTTCCTTTAGCTATGTTGAATCTTTTAATCCCCAAGGATCTGCTCCAGAGTAGAGTTTCAGTGCATTTGGTATTCACTCTGTTCCCTTATGACTTGGGCTTAGGCAAAGAGAATTGGTATATGAATTATGTCTCAGAAATATAAACTCTTTAAAAGGCTGGGCTGTGAAATCCATAGCTTCCTGGGTGGGGGGGATAGGGGAAATGGTGGAGAGAAACATTGAATTTTTAATTTTTTGCTATATAACCAGCTGTGTTCTTCAAAAGCCGGGAGAATGTTGGCTGTGCTTAAGTGAATGCAATGATTTTAGTCATGGCTTATAGAAAATGCTAACTTTCTCACATTGAAGTTGTTTGTGCCTATTACAATGGAGGCTTGTGTTGTTTCCGTGTTTGTTTAGGGCTGCTTCCTATAATTGCTCTTTGCCTCTTAGCTTTTACTGACATCTGGAGGCATCTCTGAAGGTTATGCTGAAGTTGGCAAAATAATGGCCATTTTATTTTCTCAAGCAGGTTGCCAGGAAAGACATCCTATCCAAATATGCTTTTCCTGGCACTGCAAATGGATTCTACAAAGAAACCTGTGCATATTCTATAAAATTACCATATATACATTGTGTACTTAAATATTGTTTAGATAACATTACACAGGAACTATTACAGCATGGATGTTGTTAAGTGTACAGACAGCTATATGGTCTCCAGCTTTGCTTAAATTTGGAATTAATAGAGGAGTAAAGAAACAAAATAATTGTATGAACAGGTGAACATTTTAAGATGGGATCCAGTTGCTGCTGAATTGCCATAGGACTGCAGATAGTTGTATTTCCCCAGTATGGCAGATGTGGTTATGCCATGCCATAGAATGGGTTGGTGCTGTGACACGGTGGCCGTATCCAACAATGCAGTATTGCACAAAGCTGTGATCCTGAACTGTTTTCTTGAATGCATTCCATTGAAATAAGCAAGGCTTACTTTGAAATAAATGTATCGGAATTAATTTCAGGAACTGAACTTACTTATACATTCCTCAGTCAAGCTAAGTTTCACTATGGGAACTAGGCCTTTATACTTCCAGGTTAGTTTTAATAATTATTTTACTGGTTTCACTATACTGACTTAAATTTTAAAATCTGCCCTAAGACAACTTGTGTTGCATCTGGAACAACATGAAAAATTATGACCCCAGAACCAAGCAATATTTTCACCAAGGCACCAATGTTTTGAAAACTGACACAAAAGTTAGAAAGGTTATGATTAGAAATTAAACTGCACTTAACTTGCTAGTTGTTTTTTTAAAATCCAGTGTTGTGTGAGCTAGGACAGTCCTTTTGAAAGAGGACATAAAATGCACTAACTATAAGGGATCCCTAGCCTAGACATTTGTTAAACAACTGCACATAACACTATTGATGAAGACATTTTAACTACTGAATGGGGAAATATCTGGCACGAGAAATCTCAAAATGGAATGCGTTTGTTTCAAAGTGCATGCTAGATAGCTGGTTTCACATAGAAACTGGGATTCATGTCAGGAAACACTTAGTTCAAAGCTCACCTCAACTGTTCTAAGTATTCTTGGATAACGTATGTGAAGTGTTTTGAACATTTGAAATTTACCATATAAATGTTGAGTATTTGGCACTCAAGCCATCTGAGTTAAGGAAGGTATATTTTGCTTAAGTCTTATTTCATTTAGGCTGACTTAGTAGTAAATGGCATCCTTGCTCCCTCTAATCTTCAAATAACTCTGTTTGCATGTGAAATCCCAGTCAGGGGTGCAAAATCTTCATAGCTGAAGGCTTTTCACAGCATGGTGTTCATGAAGCTTCAAGAACCAAAGCTATCTCTGAACAGCACATGGGGCTTAATGCTTTTGCTGAGACACTGGCATGCAAGCTGGCTATCATGTAGCAAGAAGTCACGTTCCTTTGCTCTCCAGCCAAGGTTTTAGGTAGCTTGTGCTGTTGACATTAAACTGATTGAACTGAGCATGCTCCAAGAAGAGAGCTGTATAAATGCAGGGTAGTTTTAAGGGCAGGGAGCTGTATGTAGACTGACAATGCAGCATGCTGTTAATTTGCTGTTATTCCTAATGCCACTCTGTTGCAAGTCTTCCTTCCCAATACAGTGGTACCTCGGGTTAAGTCCTTAATTCGTTCCGGAGGTCCTTACTTAACCTGAAACTGTTCTTAACCTGAAGCACCACTTTAGCTAATGGGGCCTCCTGCTGCCGCTGCGCTGCCAGAGCACGATTTCTGTTCTCATCCTGAAGCAAAGTTCTTAACCTGAAGCACTATTTCTAGGTTAGCGGAGTCTGTAACCTGAAGCGTATGTAACCTGAAGTGTATGTAACCCGAGGTACCACTGTAAATGGAAGTGTACTTTTTGATGTGAGGGCTACTGACAGAGAATTCTTTCAGTGTCTTAAATCTCTAATTTTCCTCTGCAAAATGTTGCAAACTCTTAAATAAACATGATTAACAGACTATCACTAATATTGCAGTTCTGCTGCAAAAATGTCCGTATACAATACTGGCATAACAAGGCAAGCTCTTGTGTTACATAAAGTAAGCGTGAGGTCATATTTGCCACATGGAAGGAGTTCACTCTGTCTCTTCAGCTTTTCTTTAAGAGATGTCCCTGTATGTAATCCAGCTTGAGAAACGGGGTGACTTTAAAAAAAGATGCATCTTTACCATGTTGGGACTTTTTTTTTAATGGCGTAACATATGGAGGTGGGTTGAAATGGGCTGGTACAGCACACTCTGAAATCAAATTGTTCCACCAACCAAAATAGAACAGCACTGTCTCACTACAGATATTATTAATGATCATCATTTCTCTACTGAAAACCCAGATAAAATATATTTATGTAGTGTACAGAATCTCAAAACCAGAGCAACATAAATAAAATTGAAGCAAAATACATTTAGGAAGCTTAAGTAGAGTCTGGGTCACCTGACAAGGTTATGAAAACTATAAATTATTTCCATGGGAAAGCTTGCTGAAATAGTGACATAATAACACAAGTTGGCACCTAAGACTCATTACAGATGATGTCTACTTGCTTTCATTAGGTATAGAGTTCCATAATCCCATGCCATCACTTTAAATTCACAATTTCTTGTTGAGGATAGCCAGGCACCATTTGACAAGTCTTAGGTGGCAGGATACAAAGTTCAAGCAGGGGTTATGGAATAGGGCAGTATTTGAAGTACACTGGCCTTAGGTTATTTAGAACTTCATATACTAATAGTAAGACCTTGAAGAAAGATACTCAGCATGTGATAGCCAGTGCAGCTCGCTCCCTCAACACAGGTGTTAGTTTGTTGGTAGTCAACACCCAATAGCAACTGGGCTGTGAAATTCTGCACCAGCTGCAGCTTTCATACCAGCCTCACGGGTAGCCCAACATAAAGCGCATTACATTAGTCTATCCTAAAGGTCACCAATGCATGAGCCACCATAGTGGAGCTAACCCACAGCTGACAAACCAGCTGAATCAAGGGTCTTGATTTCATCTGATGTTTCAGTAATGTTCTGTGTTTCAAACAGACATAATTTATGGCTTCAGTAGATGCTTGCCAATATGTAAACAAATAACAGTTCATTTTCCGTATAGTTATCTCCAAGCGATGGTCTGAATGCTCATGAGAAGGATGCAGCTTGCTGGTAGAGCATCTGTTTGGATGCAGATGGTCGTTGCCTCAGTACCCAGCAATAGCCACCACAAAGCAGATCTCAGGTTGACTACCAACACTACTTACGTGGTGGCATAAATGAACAGACAAGCTTTGCTTACATCAGGCACCAGAAGTGCTAAGCCTGAGAAAAGATGTGCAAGTGTCCCCAACTCTCCTCCTCTTACAGCTGTAGAAAAGAGGATAATCATCATAGACACCTATACATCATGCTGGCTGACCATTGAGGAGACAGAAAACCGAATGGTTGGCATATCATAAAGGAAGGCATGGCTGGCTGGCTGGAATAGTGTGTTTACACTATGGATTTTAATGTCTCCATGCATTCTGCTTTCTTCTTTAAAGATTACAGGAAGATCCACCCGTGGGGGTCAGTGGTGCACCATCTGAGAACAACATAATGCAATGGAATGCAGTTATTTTTGGGTAAGTGAACCTTACCTTCATTATAAAGGAAATGAATGAATATATTCTAAGTTATTTATTTTCTGTGCCACTTTCACAAATGCTAAATGATGACTGAAACAATTGAGGACATCATTGGAAACAGATTGTTAAGGGCCCAGTCTTGCACTCGAGAGTATTCAGTTTATCAGGGCAACATGGAACATACGATAGGATTCAACTAATAAGCCCCACCAGTGGAAGCCCATGCAAGGACTTCTGCTAGCTCAGCGGGGCTTCCCCCTCTCCTACCTTGCACACACACATGCCCAAAGTGGGGGTGGGGTCAGGAGAACCCCCTGAACAATATGCAGGGGGAGGGGCACAAATGTTTGTGTTGATGGAGCAATCTGTTTAGCACTAAATTGAATCCCTCTCAAATCATTCTCTTTTAAGCTTTCTTATGATATAGCATGTAATTGTACAAGCATGGCGCTTTTTAATTAATAATAATAATAATAATTTTTTTATTCATACCCCGCCCTCCCCAGCCAAGGCTGGGCTCAGAGCGGCTTACAAGCAATAATAAAAACAAGATGAATGATTACAACTTAAAAACAAAAATAAAATACAACATTAAAATAATGGAACATTAAAATATTAAAATGTAGCCTCATCGCAGGAGGAGAAGGAAAAGAAAAAAGAAAGGGAGGGAATCAAATTGGCTCCAAGCCAAAGGCCAGGTGGAACAACTCTGTCTTACAGGCCCTGCGGAAAGAAATCAGATCCTGCAGGGCCCTGGTCTCATGAGGCAGAGCATTCCACCAGGCCGGAGCCAGAGTTGAAAAGGCCCTGGCTCTGGTTGAAGCCAATCTAACTTCCTTAGGGCCTGGGACCACTAGGGTGTTGTTATTTATGGACCTTGAGGCTCTCCGTGGGGCATACCAGGAGAGGCGGTCCCGTAGGTACGAGGGTCCTAGGCCGTGAAGGGCTTTAAAGGTCAAAAGCAGCACCTTAAATCTGACCCTGTACTCCACCGGGAGCCAGTGCAGCTTGAAAAGCACTGGGTGAATATGCTCCCATGGCAGAGACCCCGTGAGGAGCCTCGCTGCAGCATTCAGCATTCAGCAATTGAGAGTGGGACAAGCTGAGCACTTTGGCTGAAAATTCCAGTGAATGTATTGTCTCAAATTATAGCTTTGCAAGTGAGACTCTTTGCAGAGACACTGCAATATCTAGAGTTTGGGAATCAAATATATTTTCAGTAACACATTTATATACCAAGCTACTGGCTACTGTTTTATGGGAAGCTAAATGGCAGAAAATAGCTTGTGAGTTCTGTTTGTTCATTTACAGTTAAGGAATAATTAATTCGTATTATCTCTCTTTCCAGGCCAGAAGGTACTCCCTTTGAAGATGGTAAGCTTTTAAAACATTTTTTGCTTCTGGTAGCTTTTCTAAAATTTAGAATCTAAGCACAGGAAACTTGCATTATGTTGCCATATGTTACCTGTAATAGTTGTCTGACATTGTTATATTGAGGATAACATTCCAGTTGTAGTAGTAATACATGTAAGCAAAGGTAAAGGAGCCCTGGACGGTTAAGTCCAGTCAAAGGCAACTTTGGGGTGCAGCGCTCATCTCACTTCAGGCTGAGGGAGCTAGCGTTTGTCTGCAAACAGCTTTCCGGGTCATGCAGTAGCATGACTAAACCACATCTGGCACAACAGGACACAGTGACGATTGCCAGAGCACACGGAAACGCCGTTTACCTTCCCGTGGCAGCAGTACCTATTTACCTACTTGCACTGGTATGCTTTCAAATTGCTAGGTTGGCAGAAGCTGGGATAGAGCAATGGGAACTAACCCCATCATGCTTATTCGAACCGCTGACCTTCCAGTTGGGAAGCCCAAGAGGCTTGGTGGTTTAGACCACAGTACCACTTGCTCCCTACCCGTAATACATGTAAACCTTGGTAACAAAAACCAACTACCTGTTTTTAAAGCCCATTATTCTTACAGTACCTACTAGCAAGAAGTCCTAGTACTTTAAATCATGTAAATTTACTTGTTTGACCATAAGCCCCTAACAATACTAAGGCTGCAGCCCTAACCCCACTCACCTTGGAGTAAGTCACATTGAAGTCAACAAAACTTACTTTTCAGTAGACCTGTTTAGGATTGCACTGTACAATATAAATAAAATCCACTTAGTTAAAAGGGTCTTTTATCATTTAGGTTTGCAGCCCGAGTACACAAAGTGCTAATCAGTCTGATGGTTTCATGAAGTAGGTTGTCACATCCCTAGTCTAAAATTGGGTCATCTGGAGGAGTTATAAATTAACCATGACTGACAATTTGGAAATATTTTAATGCTTGAATTTGCAGCTGGTTCTACTGGAGCTCCCTCTGACCGCTCCAAAATTCCTATCTCCAGTGACAATTGCATATTTGCCAAAATGGAGACCCTGACGTAACAGACAGGGATCCAAAGAACCCCGAGACCAATTCTGTTTGTTAATTGAAGTTTGGACTTGTATTTCTTGAATAGAACTCCCCCATGACACATGAAAATAGATTTTGAAATTTTGTTGTTCCCCCCTACCCCCCCCCAAAAAAAATATTACTGAGCATGCCCAAGACCTTGACCATCACTAAAGTAGCTATTTGGCTTTTAGCCACAGTTTCCATCAACAAGGCACTTAGGCATAGAATAAAGCAGTCAGGCATAATTGTTGATGGACAGCTTGGGTGTCTTCCAAATGTGATATTCAACTGGAAAAGAGTGGGCCCACGGGGTGGTGGGAGTGTGTGTGTGTGTGTGTGTGTGTGAGAGAGAGAGAGAGAGAGAGAGAGAGAGAGAGAGAGAGAGAGAGATAGTCCCACACAAGGACAGTACCTAAAACCAGACCTTCAGTATGATTTTGAGCTTGTATTCAGTAGAGCCTGCTAAGATTTGGGGAGAAGTTCACATTAGTTCATTCCAACATTTTTCATGCTTTTTTGGTAGTGCCTGGCTTTGCCCATAGCACATGATCCTGATTCCTCTTTTGATACTGAAAATAAAAACAACTTCACGTTCCCTTGAACTGATCTGTATATAAAACTGTCTCGGTGAAAATAACCACAGTAAAGTATATGGCTGTTCTTGCAGTGGTTGAAGCAGACTTAAAGCCACCTGTTTATCACTCTCTAGTGTTGTGTCTTGAACAGGTTTTTTTTAAAAAGTTGAAGTGCCAAAATTTTGTGTGGGTGTTTTCCCCCCACCTTTTGTTTCTTTTAAGATCTGTATTGGTCTTATTTAGAACGTATATAAGTGTTTCCTGCAAACTTGTAAGTCTTAATGACCATAGAGCTGTTCTGTCCTCATACTGATTATTCTGGTTCACACTAGAAGGTAAAGTGGATGACTCTTGGGTGTCCTATAAAAAAAATCAGCGGAAGGTTGTAACCTGTTATATTTTGTGTGTGTGTTTTAAACTTGATTCTGTCAGTTGTAGTTGAAAAGGTGGGGCAAAGCAGTTTTTTGTAGAGCTTCCTAGGTTCGAGGCAATTTTTGCTTAGCACCTGTAGTGAAGTAAATGGCTACTTGCAAGCTCCAGACACCTGAGGCTCTCATGTATAGCCCAGGGGAACTTGTTAGTGCAGGGAAAACGCAGGCTGTCATCACAAAAATGACAGCAAATGCTTCTGATAATCTGTTTGATGGTAAGTTGTTTGTCTCTGACCCAGCCCATAGATTCTGTTAGTTTTTGATACCCAGTTGGATGTAATGAAGACTGTCAACTGAATGTTGACGGTTCTCTTTTTTTAAGTGTCACTTTCTCAATACGAAAAGCACACAAAAGCAGCAAAAAAGAGGCATGCTTCAAATTACTGCTGAAAATGTAGGTACTGGAAGCCTTAGATTTCTAAGAGAATGTTACTTCTTTCAAAATAAAATTATGGCTGAGGTCAATGGACCTTGTAGACCAAAATGTTTGGAGGGCACCAGGTTGCTCCAGAAAAAAAGAAAGAAAAGCACACCTGTACTTACTGTCCTGGGAGCAAGTTTTCTTTTGAAACATTGACATTTTTAGACGTATAGGCGTGCAACTCCTCATTTGTGTATAGTGCTTCGTCCTCAACTGCCCAGCTTTTTTCCTTTTCGTTTTCTCCAAGGATGTGTTTGACTGTGCTGGATAATTTCAGGCCAATTTACACATTCAGCTTCTGTCCCCACATAGAACACATTCTTATTTTTAGAAACAGTGTGAAATGCATGAGTTAAGATCCTTGAAATGTATCTGTATCTCACATATATGTATGTGTGTGTGAAAGAGAGAAATATCACACAGTGATCTTGAGCATGGATTTCATGCTGCTTTCTTCACAGAAATACTTTCATTGTAGTAAATGTATAATGTATGAAGACCTGTTCATTAGAACAGTTAATCAGCGCCAGCTTAAAATGCCTGTTATGTAACTCATAAATATCTGAGCTGAATAGGTTTGCCAGACATTTATCTAACTCCATTTGTATTTGGTTTTTAATACCAAACCAATGTTACATTTTCAACCTGTGGAAATTCAAAAGGAATATACCTGATTCATCTGCATATTTTTCTACACAGTTTTTGATTCTACTCCATATTCTCTTGAGTGGGCTGCTAAGATACTCTCAGGATGCTGATGTTATTTCTATTCATAGCTGTGTACTGCAGCATTTTATTAACTCTAAAAATAATGTTAGACTAAGTGTTTATTTTTATTTCAAGAGTAGTAGCCCTCTTGTTAATCATAAGTGCTTTTGAAAGGAATAAGTTTTCCGCTATATATTTGTGATCTTAGGATGTTTGTAATAGCTTTGTTATATAACTCTAAACTGCCTTATGAGATGGGATACAAATGTATTAAATAAAATGTCATGTTTAGGCTTTTAAAAGCAGATTCATCTACATGATTTGTTCTTGTTTGTTGCCCCCTTTCCATCCCTTTCTCTCCTTTTTTACAGGTACCTTTAAACTAGTAATAGAATTTTCAGAAGAATATCCAAATAAGCCTCCAACTGTTCGGTTTTTATCAAAAATGTTTCATCCCAATGGTAAGTTTTCATGAAGAATATGTAAAAACCTTAGGTGCAAGCATGTGCCCTCTGACTTTTAACAAAGTTTTAATATCCATATCAATTGCTGGAGGTAATTGTCATGGCAACTACTTAACACAGAAATTCTTCACAGCCTGCAGCCAATACTTTCATTAAAATAATATCTGAACATCTATTAGAGACCAATAAAGAACTTCCTGATTAAGGGAATTGCTTTGGAGGGTACAGTGGGGAATGGGGAAAGATCCATTGCATGAGTGGCCGCCTCTGTTGGATCCAGCCCCCTACATCTGCAAAATCCAAAGCCTTAATGAATGTTGCAGCTGGAGCTGAGATCTTCCTTAATATCTGTGCTCCTTTTTGGAAGCTTTCTGTCTCAAAATTTGTTGCTGAATCCTCTGTGTATAGCATATGGCTGCTTCTCTTTTAGGCAAGGAGCTCAGTTAACAGGGAGCAGTATTGATGCTGTCCAAGCACTGATTCAATCATTTGGCAAGACATCGAGGCCCTGTGTACAATATTTTTGAAACCTTTCCTCCCATTCTTCCTGTAGCCTAAGCAACTTGCTGTTCATCAGCTGAAGAGTGAGGAGGAATGAGAGATTGTTTTTACTGAGATGTCAAATGTAGCTAGACAATATACACTGTTTTAAAGAGAGACAGCGAGCCTACAAGCCCATAATGTGAAGGAGGATTGATCCTCCTTTTGGAGAGGAACTTTTATGTCCCTGCTCAGTGTGTGTAACTAACATCCGCATAGAGGAACCCATTTATTTTAACTTTGTTAGGAAGATTGGTTAGAGATAATGTGAGAGGGTTCCTCTTCTATTGCTACAAATCAAAGGAAACCGAACACCTTTCATATAATTATCTTCAGATTTTGCATCGGGATTGTTACGAGTCATGAGTCTCTATCAGCACATTGAACTGCAGAAAAACCCGTCTTGGGAACGAGAATTTCACTTTGATTTTCTTCCTGCCCAAAAGTGAACAATAAATAAATGGATACTACCTCCCAAAATGCCTAGTGACCAGTACTTCTAACCTGTGCCCACACAAGATCAACTGCAGGTTGCCTCATTGGTGAAAAGTTAGTTTGCAATACGCTCTTCTCCTATGTATTTTCTGCAGCATGATCTATGCATGTTTACGAAGATTTCAATATGAATTAAAATGCTGAACTTTTGGAGAAATGCATCACCCGTTCACATGTAGCATTAAACTGGCATAAACTTGAAATAATAGTGGCATAATTTTAAAACCTTCTTTTCATTTTAGTATATGCAGATGGTAGCATATGTTTAGATATCCTTCAGAATCGCTGGAGTCCTACGTATGATGTCTCATCTATTTTAACCTCAATTCAGGTAATCTTAGTAAATAACATACTGCTCTTCATAGTAGTCTACTCATCTGAGAAGGTGATGGGGAAAATTGCTGATGAAGATTGAGTCCTTTCTATCTTGAGCAATTTAGTACAGTGAATATTTTGAACTATTTCTAGTAACTGTACAGCTACTTAGTAAGTCGTTTTGTCTGAAGTGCTTGTCAAAGGATTCAGTTATTTTTCTTTTACTGTATCAGTTTAGATGTAATATTAAATGTAAATGTTGCCTGGGCTTGTTGTAACCCTCAAGCATGGCATTCTACTCTGGTTAGATATCTTCATTTTGATGGCTGCTGTTTTGTATTCCACCCGCAATTTTGGCTTCCTTTTCTCTTTCCAGTCGCTGCTTGACGAACCCAATCCAAATAGTCCTGCCAACAGTCAGGCTGCACAACTTTATCAGGAAAACAAGCGTGAATATGAAAAAAGAGTTTCGGCTATTGTTGAACAAAGTTGGAATGATTCATAAGAAATAACTACTTCATTAACCGACATCCTCATAATCATCATGTACAATTTAACTTGCGATAGGAAATGCTATCAGAACTTCTCAAGTGCCACGTTTGACTTGCATACAGATGTGTTTGCAAAAATAAGCCCTTCAGTTTCAAAACTCTAAAAGCTTGTGTACCTTGATTAATGTACTTTCTATTGCATGTTATGACCTAAGTTATTGCTACATAAATTTGTAATATATCCTGTTTGTATTTTTTTCAAAGTGTATAATGTTGGTGTGAAGTTTTCATGACAGAATATACATATTTTGTAAATCTGTACTTTTTTCAAAATATTGAATGCCTTATTTTTGAATTCTTTAGATTTATAAATTGGACAAAAATCACTTAACAGAGTTTTATATATAAAATATTTCATGTAAAGCTGAAATACATAACCTCAGTGCAAGACATTTTTCTGTCACTTCTTTCAAGTTTTCCATGGGCTCACAGATCACTTGCATTCAGATCTAACTACAAAAATACATTAAGATGTAAGGTGCCCTCTCATGTGTGCAGTCTAAAATTCTGCCTAGGTAATTCCCCCCCCCCCATCAGTGTTGGAAGAACCTTACAGTTCTCAGCACTTTGGTGTGGTAGAGAAGTACTTGGAGCTCCATTTTTTTCTCTCAACACAGTTTTTGACATTATTTACATTTTCTTATATGGTGCTCTCTCTTTGGGGAGCTTGATACATAAGCTGCCTTCTGCCAGTCATGCAAAGATAGTATAAAGTGGCAAAAAGATGGACATGCTACTCAAGACATGCAACTCACAAATAAGTGCCCCATATCCAAACTTAACACTAGTCATTACATTAGCGACTCTTAACTGGCCAAAACCATTCACAGCAGAGCCAGTGGACAAGGTGCAGAGAGTGCTGCCATTCACTAATGCAGACCATTGCCATAGCTATGTATATGCCCAAACAACTGAGTTTTAATCACATGCAGGTGGTAATTCTGCCTTGTATCTCATTTTACCTCTCTGCTTACAGAAAGCTCTTTGCTCAGAGGAGAGAGGAAGTTCTGTGAATGGAAAGCCAAATCTTCCCAGGTTACCTTCCATGCAGTTCCATAGTAGATTTGGGAGGGGAAGATGGGAAGAGAAAGGAGAACCAGTAAAAATGGCTTTCCTGCCTTCTGTGAGTAGAGGGACACAATGAGATGCAGCCATTGGTTAACTTACTTATTGTAGGCAAAATCTGGAACTACATCAATACAGCAAGCTTTCCAGTTTAACAGAGAATCGAAACGAGAATCCAAACCTGTTTCAAATGGAGATGGAGGAAAACAGGATGGCTCTAACGACCAGGTCACTTTTTATCAATGAGACTTCTTCCTGCACGATGGGTATGAGCAAGTACAAGAAATCCTTTGCATAGATGCTTCCCCTTTGCTTATTACATTATTATCCCACCTTTCCAGTAAACCGGTCTTGAGATGCCTAACAATAGCATCAGTACAATAGAACAGCAACAAAATAAAATCAAGGCAGGAGAAACAGTTTCCAACCTCTTGAAAACCAGTTAAAATGAATTATCAACATAACTAAAAAGCCAGATGTTGAGTTTAAGGCCTGTATAAATGAAAATGTACTTGCCGGTTGGTGGTAGGTCGTCAAGCCTGGTTAGCCCCTTCCTTTTCCTTGGCAAGGCATTCAAGAGCCTGCAAGCAGCAGGTGAAAAGGTCCTCTTTTTTTTTTAGTTCCCATCAAATGCACTTCATATGGTGGAAAATGCAGATGACACGGTCCCAAGTCATTTAGGACTTCACAGGCCACACAACTCGCACTTTGGATTTTACCTAGAAACAGACTTGCTAGCCTATGAAGTTGTGAAAGCGTGGGAACTGCATGCCCCCCTCACTGGGTGCAGCATGCAAAACCAACTTGAGCTTCTGAATACTCTTCAAAGACCGTCTCGTGTGGAGTGTCACAGTTGTCCTAATGAGATTTAAGTAAGTTACGGTATGTGCTAACGATGGCCTGATACTCCAAGGAACAGGCACAGTTTTTGCACTAAACCTAGCTGTGCAAAAGTGCTGCTGGATGCTGTCAAAACCCACCCAGGCTCGGGGTTGAATGCAAAGGTACACCTAAACTATATCTTCAAAGGGAGTGCAGCCCTATCCAAGGCTGATTGAAAACCCAGCTATCTTACAACCAGCCAGGAGCATTCTGTCCTGTGTGGTTTAAGCTTCAGTTTGCCCTCATTAAGTTTGTTACTGAATCAGGCTTTCATTCAGAAGTGGAACAGTTTCCATGGATTTAAACGTAAAAGGTAAAAGTTTTGGGTGCCATCAGAATACTGGTGATAGCAAAATTTTGCTGAGTTAAGGTACTTTTATAAAAATATTTCCAGTGTCACATGGTGAGAAATTCAAAACCAAGGAAAAGTATGTTATGGTTTTATTTATTTAATACTTCTAAAGAATCCTGAAAGTTCACATGCATTTAGTACTTTACGGTTTAAGGAACTGCAATCCTAGATCATTTCAGTCGCAAGATTCAATTGTACAGTTTATTTACAATTCTGAAACAAGTTTTTAAAAAAATCCTACTATGACTTTGAAAACTCAGATTTACGAAAGACACAACATTAATAGTAATATCAAATACTAGGAAATGTTCTGAATTTACCTTCATGTGTACTCTGTTGAACATGGTGGAAAACGATTTGTACAAAATCACCGGCTAGAAGTACAATTCTTTAATAACCAAAGTAGAAAGTACAAGACTTCTCTTTTGTGCTCTGTCATTGCAGCTATTTCACAAGCATCTAATTCAGTTTTCCTTAACTGCTGTGCATGTGTGATCTTTGTTTTGGTTAAGATTATGTTACTTCTATATAAATAGTACCCATGTACTGATATCAGAATACATGTTACTATAACAACCTTCTCATTAACAGGCATACTAGGTCATTTAAGTCCTGCCTTTGCTAAATGAAAGATAAACACTACCTTGGCTAAAGAATATGCTTGCTTGGTGAATTGTAGGAATGGAAACTCTAAAAAGGATTGGGAAATGTTATTAAATTCTCAGGGGCTAACCTTTTTATATAAGGCGAGGAAAGATGTGGTGGTAATACAAACAATCACTTGCATTACATTAAAGAGGGACTTTAATATTCTCACAATAATAGATGTAAAAGCAGATTAAGATAGTGGAAGTTTACAACCCAACAGTAGGAAATGGGGTTTCACAATTAACTAGTGGTATTAGGGTGGGTAGTTTTGGCTATCAGTAATGGTTGCCGGGATAAGAAAATGATAAAATGTGAGAATGGGTTTGGGGATTTTTTAAATATATTTTTTTAAGAAAATAAACACGGTAATTTTCTCCTTGCCAACCACAGTCCATGTCCCTACGTCAGAGGTCATATGCTTTCTAGGGAGACTCACAGTAATAAAGCAGTACTTTTCTGCTGCTTCTTTCCGTAGTTCAAATTCCTGTCATAACTTTTACCCATAAAAGTTATTGATAGGTTAGAACTGTACAACCAAAGAGAATATGCACAGGAGCTGAATTGTGCTTAGCATGAACTGCAAGTGGGGCAGACAAAGGTGAGAATATCTTTCCAGAGTCATGGGGGTGGTGGTAGAGAATATTTCTCCCCACCAACCCTGGATCAAACCTGTGAGAACATGTAAAAGAGACTGTTTCCAGTGAAGACAGGCAATACCTGCTAGATCAGGTGTGGAGAACCTTTGTTCCTCTCCGTGTGTTGCTGAATCCCATCAACCCCAGCAAGCATGGGAGTTATGGCAACACCAGGAGGGCCAAAGGCTCCTTACACCTGACCCGGGTATCAGTTTCCTATGTTCTGAAATGTGGCAGAGTGTACTCTCCATGTGACAACTCCACACAGGGGAGCTGTGCTACTGGTAGCAGCAGGGGAAAGGAATCTCCTAGCCTAATATGACAGCAGGCCTCTGGTAGTAGTGACATAGGTACATTTGGAAGCACTTCGCCAGCAAGCATGTCAAACTGACCTGACAGTCTTTCCCCCACATGAATAGCCTCTTCAATTGAGGTGATTGGGAGCAGAGGACATTTAACCCTTTCCACTCTAAATGATCACATGTGGTTTCATTTGGAATGCTGTGAGGGAAAGCCACTTGCATGGAAGGCACTTTCAGAACAGAGAAAGGTGAGGTGAGGTAGGAAAGCGAAGTGCCCCTCACTGTCCCCTTTCCCTCTGCCCCCTGACTGTCATATATCATCAACCTCCTGAAAGTTCTTCAAACAGAAAGAACCGTTATGGCACTGTTACAGACAGTGCAAGTGTTCATGTCCACATCTCAAGCTGAGGTTTGTGTGTGTGGAACATAGAAATTAAGCTTTTGCATTTTTATGTAGCCAATCTTCTTTATATATAAAAAAATGTTTTCCTTTCTCAGTCCCAATATGTAGAAACAGTTGGTGGCCAATTAGTGTGCCCTTCCCTCTCAATGACCAAGCCACACAGATATCAGTTTTTGCCTGACCATTTACAAGTTACAACAATGGGGATGTAATATATGAAGAACCCTAAGAACTGGAACCAGATAGGCTCATTGCTAGCATATCATTTACCATGGGAAAATAGCTGTGAGTCACTGCCACAGAACCTGCCTTGTGCTCCCGCCTTTCTTTTTATTTTGGTATGGCAGTAGCACTAACATTTTTATTTTCCTGCAATGTGGTATGTATAGAGACTAGTCATGCAGGCCTAGGGCTCCTTTCAATACTCCTTATAGGCTGTCTGGCAGTGAGCCACAAATACCCCAACAGCAGCTGTTATAGAAGTGCTGACTGAGCCTGAGCAGCTAGACCTGCCAGTGCTGCCATTTTCTTTCTTACAAAATGCAGTGAGCTTCATAGAATTGTAGAATTGGAAGAGACTATGAGGGGAATTTAGTCCAACCCTTTGCAATGTAGAAATTTCAGCTAAAGCAGCCATGACAGATGGCCATCCAAACTCAGCTTTAAAATGTCCAAAGGAGAGTCCACCACCTTCCAAGGACGTCCGTTCCATGATCAAATAGCTCTTACCATCAGAAAGCTCTCACAGTGTTAGGCAAAATTTCCTTTCATGTAACTTGAAGCCATTGGTTTGGGCCCTACCCTCCAGAGCAGGAGAAAACAAGTTGGCTCCATCGTCCATGTAACAGCCTTTTAGATATTTGAAGATGGCTATCCTATCTCCTCTCTCTCTCCTCTTTTCCAGGCTAAACATCCCCAACTCCCTCAACTGTTCCTCATAAGGCTTGGTTTCCAGACTCTTGATCATCTCGGTCGCCCTCCTCTGCACACTTTCCAACTTGTCAATATCCTTTTTAAATTACAGCCCCCAGAACTCTAC